TTTATTTTAGTTATGACTAATTGGAGTTCTATATGCCTCACTTACTGTATGTCTGATTCTTTTTGCATGCTTGGGAATTTTTCTGCTATTATTTCTGCAAATAGTCTTTTTATATCATTTGTTTTGACACCTACTCTTTCATTGACACCTATTAATCTCACATTGTTTTTCTTTGCTTCATCTTGCAGTTGAAATGTTATTGCCTGGTTCCTTTTTTGGGGGTGGGGGGACCAGGAATCAAACTCATGACCTCAGGCTTGCCAGGCAAGCACTTACACTGTTGGGCTATATCCCTGGCCCCTTCCCTTGTTATTTTTAAGAGATCCTTCCAAAAATCTATCTTCAGCTACATTCAAGTGGTTTTGACAGGTTTTGATGAAATTTTTAATTTCCTGGATATCTGTTTGAATCTGTTTCATGCATTCTAATTCTTTCCTATATTGTTCATTTAAGGTTTCCATGATTTTTTTATGCTCCTGTATTTTCTTTTCTATGTTTTCTATGGATGTGCTGAGCAATTCTTTCATTATTGTTGTCATTTCTTTTTTTTTTTTTACCTGAGACATTATTTCTGATCTGATGTCTTCCATGGTCTAATGGAGTTGTTTCTTTACCTCAGTTTGTATCATTTCAGAAATTTCAGGTGTATGACTTTCAAACTGTTCTGTGTCAATGTCTCCTGGACTTGTTCTGGGTAGGGTAGATGTCTGAGATTTCATTTTGCTCCTTCATTTTGTCATTTTTGAAGTTCCCTGGAGCTCTGCCTCACTCCCACAATGGTGTGAGAGTGACAGGGTGAAGATCCAAAGGTCGCCAGTGCTCAGTGTGGCTCCTGCAATGGTGTGTGGGGGCAAGGTGCAGTGGCAGATGTTCCTGAAGCTTTCTCACACTAAGCTGTCTCCCAGGACAGTGGGAAAGGGGCAGGGGAGGATCTCTGATGTTCCTCAGGCTGTTGGGGTTCAGTCTGTCTTCCACAAGGGGTGAGGGGTGCAGGATGTGGTCACTGAGGCTTCAGACTTTGATGAAGACCCAGCCTGGTTCCCATGACAGTGGGAAGGTGTGAGTGTGCAGTCACACCACAGAACTGATGTTGTTCAGGTTTCAGCTCAGCTCCTACAGGGGTGCAGGGGGTGCAGGGTATGGCCACCAAGGCCCCAAAAGGTGTCCAGTGCTCTGCCTGCCTTGCACACTGGTGTAGGAGGCACAGAGGCAGTTCACTGGGGTTCCTGAAGATGTCTGGGGTTCTGCCCGGCTCATGTGGGGATGGAGGGGGTGCCAGGAGTGGCCACTGAGGTCCCAGAAGGTCTTGGGGGTTTGTCTGCCTTGCACGCTGTTGGGTGAGGTGCACTGCCTGAAGATATCTGGGGTACAGCCCGGCTTCTGTGAGGGTACGGGGGTGGCCACTGAGGCCCAAGAAGTTGTCTGGGGCTCCTCCTGCCTTGTGTGCTGGTGGGGGAGGTATGGGGCAGTTCACTGGGGTTCTTGAAGATGTGTTGGGTTCAGCCTGGCCCATGTGGGAATGTGGGGAGTGTGGGGAGCTTACAACATGATATTAAGGTACATATTTTACATATAGTACACAATTACTAGAATGGAACAGAGTAACATATCCATCATCTAACAGTGACCCATGCTCCCCCATGGTAAGAGTAGTTATAATCTACTCATCTAGAAAAACTCCTGAATATGATGCACTATTATTAACTATAGTCCTCCTTTTGTCCGTTAGATTTTCTGATATGTTTCTCCTGCATATTTGCTATTTTGTAACTTTCTTAGTTACACCCTGCATAGGAAAACATGTGTGTTTATCATATTTTTGGAAGCTGTCTTCTATTTCTAAGCATCTGCTAGCTCTTGGGAGAGCCAAACTTGCAAGTTGGTGAAGCCAGTATGTCAGTATGAAAAATGTCTATAGTAATATATAACAAGTATGATAACTCCTGTGATTGTCTTTGTTTTTCTTTTTTTCTTTCCTTCTTTTTTTTGTTTATTTTGGCTTTGAGACATGGTCTAACTGTGTAGTCCAGGCTGGCCTTGAACACATATGTAGCTTAGGCTGGCTTGAGCTCAAAGCAATCTTCTTGCCTCAGCCTCTCGAGTGCCGAGATTAGAGGCATGTATCACAACACCTGCCTATAGTCCTGTGATTACAATGGACAAGTACTGTACAAATGTATGAGGTATGATCAAAAAGTAAAATGGATGTGTAACTTATTTTTAAAAATGTTTAGGGTAAATGATACATTCTCATTAATCCCACTAACAATACTCTCCCCATTTCAAACAGATTTATGCAATGCTTTTGTACTTTCTGAGGCCCATCTGTAAGTGCTCTTTTATCCATATCTTTAGTTCTGTGGTCATGCCTGCCTCAATGTCCTGAATCAATTCAAAATGTTTATTTTTCATGGCAATTTTGATTTTGGGCAAGACAGATCAGAGGAATGACACCAGATTCAGTGCACAAAGTGGATATAGATACACTGTAAGGTTTTGTAAGTCTACCTTTCCAATGGATTTCACTAGGCTTGAAGAGACAATCATTTTTTTGTTTTTTTGTTTTTGTTTTTTGTTTTTTCTCTGGTACCGGGAACCGAACTCACGACCTTGCGCTTGCCAGGCAGGCACTTTTGCCGCTGAGCTAAATTCCCAGCCCCGAGACAATCATTTTTGATCAATTTCACGAGAACACTTATGAAAGAGGATATTCAGCATTGCTTTAAAAATGTGTAAAACACATGGAAAAAAGTGTTCTGGAAGTGAAGGGGAATTTTTTTTTTTTTTTTTTTGCGGTACTGGGGATTGAACTCACGACCTTGTGCTTGCCAGACAGGTGCTTATGCCACTGAACTATATCTCCAGCATGAAAGGGAAATTTTTGAGTGAAATTAATGACAAAATCTCTGCTATTGTTATAAATTATTAAACATTTTGCACATTGAATGAAATAGGCAATTATTCTTCATAATGTTAGGACAAATTTTATCAGAAAAACATTACATAGTCCCACTTTTTCTCTTTTAAAAAGTTACTTTATGTCCTTTCTCTTTCACAAATCTTTGAATAAACTAGCTCCATATAAGTTCAGATTCTTATCGAGGCCATGATTTGTCATGAGAGATAGTTTGAAAAATCAACAGAAAAGGGAAATCTGTGCTTCCACCGGTGGGATTTTGGTGCTTTGTAGAGTGCTCATTGAGCTCCTTTGCTCTGAATAGGGCTGAACCTGTGTTCAGAGGACTATATCTCCACTGGCTCTGACTGCTGAGCATCCTCTTCTTGATTTGTCAGTTCTTCTGCTTGCAGTTTATGCAAAACCCTCATTTCACTTCCTGAGTAGGACCAGAAGCTGCCTGTCTTCTGGAGTTTCACTGTGTTGTGTTAATCAAGAAAGCTGTAGCTTCAAGTGGATGTAGTGTGTGTGAAGTCTGACTGTGATTTGGCTTTTTAAAAAGGGAATTTCCACGTGTTTCTTCCTTTCCCACGGATAAGTTACTAATGCTTGTGCTCATCTCTGTTATTTACTATATTTTGTAAGGGGTAAAGATTAATCCTGATCTTCAACTTGAATGAATTAAAAACTGGCTCTAGAACTGACTGGTTCTTGCTGGTACTAAAATCTTCAAGGGTGAATCCATTTATAAATTCAAAGCTAAATGAGCTATTAAAAGTTGAACCCCAGTTGGAGGAAGTAGTTTACTGGGGAATAAGACTGTACCTGGTCACTTGTCTCTGGCTTCTCTTTCTCTCTGGCTTTCTCATCCTCTCTGTTTTGTGACTGTCATAACGTGAGCAGCTATCCTCCATCAGAATTTTTCTGGTATATTTCTGCCCTATATTTCCACTATGGTATTTCTGCTTTGGAGCCAGCTAACCATATTTAGCTATTATGAGCCAAGTGAAATGGTTCATTCTTTAAGATATTTCTCTCAGGTATTTGATCCCAACAATAGAAATGAAGACATAAGGCCCTTGCCTTCTTTGTGACAAGACTGGATAGATTTAACAACAGGCAGTACTGATATAGATGTGATTTATCTTGCAGAATTTTAACATTGAAAGTTGGATTGATTACTAGTATGGTGATGGTAAGATGTGCTAGGGAGAAGCCTAGTGAGAAGTTATAGGTTATGGGAGTGGTCTGGCTTAGAGAATAGTCATGGTAGTCCTTATGGGATCCTGGTTAGTTCTCCTGAGGAAGTTGTTATAAGAGAACAATAGCAGACCATTTCTGCTCTATTACCTTCTCTCTCACCTGTGGTCTCTTCCTCTTGCCATTGTATCTCCTCCCCTTGTGAAGAACAGGTGACACTCAAATGAACTGAACAAATATAGTTGCATGATCTTAATCTCATCAACCATGAGATGAGTTAAACCATGTTCTGTGTAGCATGTGAAATCAATTCATCGGACTTGAAAGCAGGGAAACACACAACTTTTCTGCTCTTAGTATGTCTTATGTAGGGACATTCTCCAATGGGATTGGAAAGTTCCATTCCCACATTTTTCCCTTGGTGGTCTCCTAATTTCAGCATGCTTGGTCATCTATTTTTTTTCAGTGTGGATGACATGCTTATTCTTGAACTTTGAAGCCTCCAACTTTGGGCCACGGTGACCCACATAAACACACATACTCTTTCTGCATTCTTTAGAACACCCAGAACTTGGACACCATCACTTGTCTAAGGAATGAAGTCTGATGTTGAATTAATTAATCATGGAGGACATGATATCTGGAGCATGGTAAATGGGAGAAGGCAGATTGCAAATTCCATTTCACATTAAGTTACGAACAAGCTGTTTTAAAAGCAGTGAGTTACCTAGAACATTAGGACACAAACTCCATGGTACACGACACAGTCATTTATGGCAGCAGGTAAATGATCCAAGTCATCACTTAACTTTTCAAGGATTTCTTCTTCACTCTCAGGACTTCCTTTGCTGCAGCTAGTGCATCTGTAGAATTTTAAAGCATTCTGAGTAGTTGGAGAGTATCACTGCTTTAGAAATATGTAGAGTAGGAACCTTTTCATAGATGCTTGTTTTACTTTCTATAAAAAAATCTTCAAAGAGCCAATCCATCGCTCAAGAATGCCAAAATTCTTGAAGCCTTTGGTATTGTTATTCCTTGGATGGAGTCTTCTTGCTACTTAAACAGGAAACGTCTTTTTTCTGACCTAACTTTGAAATTATCTCTATCATCTAAGGACTTTTGTTAGTGTTAAACAATCATTAAAAAAAGCAATTGGCAAAACTAGAGCATGCAACAGTTCTTGCAACACAGGAAAGCCATAGAGCTCTGTTGTTTTGAAGTGTCTTCTGCTTAATTCTACATTGTGTTCACATGTGCCAAAAGTTTCCCTGAGCAAGAAATATTTCAACTGATCCACACAAGGGACTAAGTCCATTTAGATAGCTTGAAGCAACACTTCATTCAGATGGATGTGGACAAAAGAGGATGCACCATAAGGGACCCAACTTGCTTCAGTAACATCTAGTATTCTCATGGCATTCCACCCTCAGTGAGTTAAAAAACCATTTGCTGATCTAGACAAGATACATGGCCTCTCTACATTAGCTCATAAAATGAAGTGAAGAGTAAGCAACATACACTTAGCATATTTCTGAAAAGATTAGAGAGGTTGTGTGTTTCTTCTGCAGGAAAAACAGCGTATTAATATAGAAGAATGTTGGCCCATAATAAGAAAGGGGCTGATAGTTGGAAAACACATAGCAATTACATCTCCAGTGCTCACCAACAATGAATTGCGATCATTAACCACAGTTGTAGAAATTCGAAAGATAGAAGACAGAGTGTAAAAACATATGAAGGTGATCACCAGAAAAAGGATGCTTTGTGTGGCTCTGGACTCAGGAGATCTTAAGGAAACATTAGTGATATGAATGTGTTGGACCCTTTGCTTGTGTCTGTAAAGTGTGAAAATCGTAGAACCACTGGCCCAGACTATAAGCAGAGAAAAACAAACTTCAGGAAAAACTACTAATGCTATATAGATTGAGCCCATGAGTAATCTATGGTCAGCAACACAACAGTATCCTATGTATATTTTCTTTGTCATGTGTCTGTCATAACCTTCTGCAGACAAATACAATGAATACAGAGGAATAATTAAAATGACCACCATGTTTAAGATCCAGCACAGGCCAACGGAGAAGCACATATAGTCTTGAGCTTTACCTTTAATGTCTTTCCAACAAGATTTCATGGGGCTAATGATGATGTTTTGGAAGACACTCAAGAGGCAGATGGTACAAATTGACACACCCCTGCCTACTCTTTCTAAATACGAGACACATTTACAGACAATATCATTGAAGAAATGCTTCATTCCAAAGGCTCCCATTGTTTGAGGAACTCCTCTAGAAAGAAGAACTAATGAGTTGGCTATGAAAATGTGCTTCAGAATCACATCTGTAGACATTAATCTCCTTCCAGGATGGAAAACAAAAATATAATGGCAAAGAAGAAAGAAATTTCCCATGACACCAATGATAGTCTGAGACAAGAAGATTATTCCTACTGCCAAATCTTTGGAAGTTATTTTGCCATTTTCTTTTAAAATGTCACTTAAATTGCTATAACAGTCATTCCTCTGAGTAGCATAGCTCATTGTAAAGAACAGACAACAAAATAATTTTGGAAATGTGCACCTATGGTGTTGTGAATATCTCAAAAAAGCTAGTGGAGTTGAAGAGAATTTTCAGCACCTTTCAGGGGAAAATCGTCACTACAGATAATGTGGTGTTAAATAGAGAGAGAAAGGATAAGTGACAGCATATGGAAGGAAAGCAAAATTCAACATTTTCAGTAAATCTTGAAATTTATCTTAAGTTATAGTGCAAAAGGAGAAAACAACTTTTATACACACCATACAACAGATCACTTTTGAATAGATTTCAAATATAAATATATAAGATGAATATCAAATATTTTATGAAAAATTACTCATTTACTCCAAGAAAAACACATTTCCTAGAAAAACCCTAATTTTATGGATGAAATTGCATATTATATTAAAATTAAGAACTACTGTCAAACAAAGACTCATAATTGCATGCAATGAGACAGAAAAAAGAGACAGGATGAGGGAGGCAAAGACAGAGATGAAAAAGTGAGACATGGAGATATATACATGTCTTGATTGTTAAGGATACTAGTAGGTTAGGTAAGAGAATAAAATGAGATACTGTTTAAACAAATTTCAAAAGTCATATTATTTAGTTGGTAATAGAAACTCCAATGTTATTGATGACATTAGTAATCAGGAAAATTCCAGTAAAACTACTACCAAGTAGCATAACACATCATGCAAAAACTGAAATAAATATGACAGAAGAATCAAGTGACAACAATACATCATATAAAAAACTGAGATAAATATGACAGAAGTGTGAAGATAAATGAAAAAATGGATAAACAAAGAACATGTATATTTGTGGGGGTGTTGCAATGGAGATAAATATTTTAGAAAACTATTTACTAGTATCTGTATAAACTTGTAAGATAAATTTTATGTTGCAATAATTTCATTTTTTTTTTATTTTTCTCAACAGAATTTGAAACATGGGTCACCAATGGACAAGCTAGATATACCTGCATAAGCTAATATTATTTATTACTCTCAAGAGCCATAAACACAAATCCAGCTCCATTACCATTAGCATTACAAAAATTACTAGATTGCTTATTCCATATTTAAGCAAGGAAGTCCTACGAAGCGGTGGCACTCAATGCTACCAGTAATATTCAATAATGAAGGAAAGTGTTCCAACACTCTCAATGAATGCAAATGATAAATTTGAAAGAACTCACTAAATATATTAGTATGAAATGTCAAACAGGTATTAGTGATCTAATATATACAATGTTACAATACTGTAACTATAACCCTATGTCTATGTAGTTAACTACAGCATAGTTGTCCAACTGAACTACAACCTTATGGTAGTGACCTGGATGAGACCAAAAGGAGATTCAGGCTAATGACAATATTCTGTTTCTTGATCTATCATTATGTGCAGTCTTGTGTTCCATTTGTAAAACTCCACTGAGCAGTGCACAAACAAATTCTGTTACCACATTCATTCTTTGCACATAAATGTTATTACATAAATTGAGAAAATATAGATGGGAGAACTGCTGGCATTAGAATGTGTGTACCTTTCTGTACAGGATGAAGCTCACAGAACCACTGTGACACATGCTGATATCCAAAGAGAGACATCCCAGAATAACAACAATGTTGTGCCTATGGACTCTTTGATATTTGTCATGGATTCCAGAAGTATATTGCCTGAAAACTTAGTTGATTTTGTTTTGGTTTTGCTTCTCTTTGGCAATCATATACATAGAACAATCAAGTTTACAAGTAAGAGCTCACTCGATTAAAATGACCAATCCACTATATGTAGTTGTCCATTGGGACAACTACATATGTGAAGTTCCTGGGACTCATGATAGTGACACACATACCTCAAGACACAGGAGATTCCAGTGCAAAATTATAATCCAAAATCCTTGAAGAAATCCATCAGTCTATAACTCCCTGTCTTGGTGTAGACTACAGTGGTGTGCCTTGGAGAAACTTTAATAAAATAGAGTGGTTAAATATAGACTACTACTGAAGTCTGAGAATCAATGCAGTGGAATTTTTTGGCACTTAATTATGGAAAAGTCAGACAAAATGGTAGCAATGATAGAAATTTCTCATTTTTCCATCCACATTCTGAGATATGTAGACCATTCCGGTTGCAAGATCTGGGAGGCCATTCTGCTGATTCCCACTGACTGATATTCATATTTAGGCCTGAGGATCCCATGGAAACTTGAGCTATCAGCTACACTGATCATATCAAGAGAAATCCACAGTGCTCATGTTAAGAGAAATAGAAACTCAATATTTTTGTCAGGACACTACCTAAAGTTGACTGTATAAACTTTAAGTAGCACTTACAATATGACTCACTGTGAAAATTCTCCACATGCTATATTTTCCTTAATTTTCACAATGGTATTTTATGTACCTAGGCAAAAATCTTGTGAAACAGAGTAATTTAGGTTTGAAAAGGTTAAAAGATACCTCTAAGTTTGCACCCTATTTAATGGAAGAATGAGGACTTGAATCTGCAGAGGCTGATTGGAAAGCTGTACTCACAGTTTAGTCATAAAACAAACAGCCCTAAGGAAGCGATATTTATTCCATACAAGACATACACAAATATTTTTGGGAAGAGAAAGTTTCATTTGTTAATATTTGTCTATTACTTTGGTAATAGAAAGTTTCATTACAAGAAGAAAATTCTAATGGCTTCTAATACTCTAGGAAAATAAGTGCACTATTACTGTGTTTTAAGGATACTATGAATGAAATATTAATAAGCACTTAAATAATGCTTGATACAATGTGAATTGTTACCAATTACTGACCATTCACTCATTAATTTTTTCCTATGTGAATTCAGGGAAGCTATCATCAAGGAAGAAGGATCGGTGAGTTATACTAAAATACAAGGAAAATACATACATTGGATATGGAAATACTAAAATCTTGAGCATTGTAGACGTGGAAATCATAGGATAATGAACTACAACTCAACTGAAAAAAGTGATTAACCAAAATGAAATTAATGTTCCAATAAATATGTGGGCGACAAAGCTTGGACAGACATTTCTTAAAACAGAAAATAAAAATGACCCCCAAGTACACACAACCATACTCAATATTAGTAGTAATTTGGGAAATACAAAACCAAACCACACTGTGGTGTGAGAATCACATGACTCACAGTAGGTGTTAGAAATAACAACAACAACAAAAACCAGGGTGGCCATAATTTGGAGAAACTGGAACTCTGTACAGTCAGTGGGAGTGACAGCATAGACTTGGATAGAAAACAGTGTGAATAATTCAAAGAGAAGGGAGTCATGCCATCTGTCCAGCAATTGCATTTCTAGGTATTTGCAAAAAAAGCATTTGAAATCAGAATCTCTTAGTTATTACAACTCTCGTGTTAATTGCAGCAATAGAGTAAATACCCAAAATGAAGAGTCCTACTTCCCTAAAAGGATAAATAGCTAAAGAAAACTTGTGTCCACACTGAAACAAATATTATTCAGCCTATTTACAAGCAGGAAAATAAATGAAAAGAAGGAAATTCTGTAATAGTTGACAATGTGAATGCAGTTTAAGAATATCATATTGTGCAAAATCAGGCAACGATAAAGAAATAGTTCATGATCTTAATCGTATATAAAACCTAAAGCACTCTGTGTCATAGAAACTAAGAGTGAAATGTTAGTGACAGGGGACTAGATGAGAGGGAATGGAAGTTGCTAAATAACAACCACAATGTTGCAGTAAGAAGAAAAGCTTCTAGAGATCTCTATGACACTGTATATATAGGCAACAATATTTTTTGGGCATGTAAACATTTTTAAGTGAGTAGATCTCATGAGTCTTATTTTTAAAATAAAATCAATATCTAAAATGTGTTACACTGAAGATGATTATATAGCTGATTGCTTTATCCCTGTGTACCATGGGTGTGGTCCTAGACTTGGTAACTCTGATTTCAAAAAACCTGTAGAATTCAGACATTTTATCTTTTTGCACTGCTGAGAACCAAATCCAGAGCATCACATACACTAGGCAAATGCTCTGCTACCGAACCACATCATTCAGTTCAGCCAAATGGACCAAGAATATTTTTAAACCACAAAAAGCAATATAAAGTTTACTTCATCTTAACATCTGTTTTTTGCAACACATGATAATACAATTTTCCTTTTCCTGCAATTTACCTTTTCTAAATTCATGTAGGAAAGCACGCTCACCGTGATCATCCAGGCACAGGTCTCTTTATAGATGACAATTACTCTTTCTGCCAATTGCAACATATACAACAGAGTTAGATTTTTAAAATTCATTTTTATTACAGATACATAGATTCAGCTCAGAAGTAGGTAGCACTTAAAACCCTATTTCACTCTTTCTCATAAGCACAAAGACATGATTAGCAGTAATAATCTTGTTAATTGCCGTTTCATTCATGTATGGCTGTGGGAACAACAGCTGCATTTGACTCCTAGATCTTTAGACACATAAAGCCTCATTTTATTGTAATTATAATTATTCACTACACTCACCTTCAGCAAGGAATTCATTCAGTTCATTAGAACCTATCAGGAATTGGCATAGAAGTGGGACTCTCATGTGTCATTAGTGGCACAGCTCATAGTTAAGGAACATTTCCCTTTATTCCCCACATCCTCATAGATATGTTTCTATCTCAGAAGCCCTCTCCAGACATAAGTTCTTATTCCAAATTTCTATCCTTACTGACTCTTCCCTCTGATTGAAATACAAAGTACTCACCTGAAATCCTCCCTTTACAGAATTGTAAGCTCAGGATGAAGATATGACAGCTGGTACTGCAGGCAAGGGAGGTGTCTACACCCTGATATAAGGGTTTGTGAATCTGTGACCTCTGCTCTCCTCACAATTATAATTGTCATCTTACCTGTATCGGCAATGACAGCGGAGGCCTGGGGAACCAAGGACTCTTTTGAAAAACTTTCTTCCAGAGTTCCTAATTACAAAGGCAATTACGA